CGGGGCTTAATTCAGAGGTCTGAAGTTCAAGACTCAGAGGAGCTGACATTTCTTTAGATTTCTTTCTTTGCCAAAAAATAAATAAATTCAATCAAATATAGAACAGGGAATCCGGTAACGGTAACTTAATGAGAAAATTAATAGAGAACAATGAGAATAAATAAATAGTTTTGAACACAAGTAACGCAGGCTCAAGTTTACAGGAAAGTGAGTGAGTGAGTGAGTGATTGAGTGAGTGACAGATTCGTCCCCCTCCAATAACTCTTCGATTGCTTCGCAATCTTCGAGTTAAAAAAGAACAGAAACACAAGATACAGATACATGATTAACATGATCAAAATATTATTCAAAGTTATACTGCCAAGACTGTACCGTTTCTATTATTTATGTGACCTATATGACCTATCAGATATTTTGAATAATATAGACGCTCTTGAGCGTAAAGTCGAGCTAGTTATTTTGGAAAACTGAGAAAAAAGACATGGTATCCAAAGAATTTACTTAGATTTCAGTTCGGTAAAAAATTATGATGTAATAAATTGATAACAGGGCACGGTGTTTGCGGTGATATTGTCAGCGCTCTGCTATGGGAGTCTCGACTTCCTCTCCTGTCATTAACGCAAACTAGCGAGGATGCGAAGTCCCTTATAGGCATTTCATGACAAAATTCATCCAGTTTACTAACTTACACATACTTCAGTATACTCTAGTCGTATTCAAGTAGTCACGATACCTCGTCAATTCTAGGAAATGTTCTTCTACTCAAGTGTGCTGTAAGCCTTGAATATGCTTCATATGCATGCAGAATAGTGAAAAACCAAGTATGAGGTAACAGACACTATGGGAAGAAGAAAAAACACTATAACTTTAAATACTTTTTTGTATAATTTTCAATATGGGGCATTGCATTCTCTTGAACAACATTGGGGAACTTGAAAAAGCATTGCAAAATATCCCGGGGGGGGGGGGGGGGTACTCGACCCCGTTTTGTATAGGTACATGCCGCCAGCGGTCTAAAACCCTTACCCTGTTTAATCCTGTTTAAGACACTAGAAAGTAAAAATCCCTACCCTGTCCAAAGGCTATCTACGCCGCAATCATCAAAACTGCAATTATACTGACAACCATCAAAGACAAGAAGAAGTTTTTGATAACACGTTAATTCTGCTACAGTGAAACGGTATATTGCTTATGAAAATATTACCCTTTCCAAGACACACACAAAAATTATAYCGGTCTTTTATCTAAATTGTACAGCCTGTTTAAGACAATTTCKGGWRAAATGTATACCCTGTTTAAGACAGCAAGGCCAAAAACCATACCCTGGCCAGCGGCACGTCCCTGTATAGCAAATATATGGGRAAATGTTGGTTATGCAGGTATGAAAAATTATATATTTTTATAAAATTGGACATACRCCCAAAATGGTTTGCAAATACGGGCAAAACTCTATTCCGGAACAACTCGATCCAAATGGTACGTATAATATTAGTGCACCATAAAGACACCAGAATGAAGAAGCCAAAAAGTCAGCCACGGAAAGATGAAAGAGTGGTCTCACCTAAGAAAAAGAAAAATACAAGTTGAATGAATAAATGCATATTTTCAAATTGGCATGATCTCTGGATTTAGGGGTTTACCATGGGGCCAGGCTAACGCAGTGTTTTGCTCAGGTAGGGGTGTACAACCTACATAAATTGATTAAAAACATATCTAAATTATATACTTTGAAATGCTGTAAATCGTTCGCATTTGATATGATTAACACCAAACATTGTCAGTTTCTTGTTTATTGTATGATCTATCGTTAAATATAAGTCTTATTTCACCATCGTGTGAATTAAGGGACTCGTAACCAGTCTCCCACGGTATGAAATCAGCCAATGGCGGACCCTTCATTTGYAACTACCCATGCAGAAGACCTTTCGGTGAAATGCACAACAACAACAACAACAACAACAGCAATCTTTATTTTCATTTCCATATATTATATATATTTACATTTTTATTGCATATTTTCGTAGAAAACAATAGTATAGATTTATAGTAATTTTTATAGAAAAATATGCTTTGCATTCAAGGAAATGACCAGAGACTAAAGGAACCGTAAGGTTTTCAAAGTTAGACTCTACTTAGGCAGTTTAAGTTATAAGTTGATATGTAGCTTCACAAACAACATATAGAGAACATACAATTAGCAGGGAAGCAATAATAACACACATGAAAAGGTGACAAATGTCACGCAAAATGACAGGGATCCCATACAAAGAACATACCAATCCGTTACCTCTGGATTGAGCAGTTTCTTTTTTACGATTACTGCAATAACTATTGATGCTGATCCAAGTATACTAGAAAGACAAAGAATAAAAAATAAATAAACTAGTAGTTCCTATGGAAAGCGAGTGGAGTGCAAGTAAGACTGAAAACACTTTTAAAACTGACTGTTTTCGAAATTGCTTGCATTTAAATCCCCAATGATTTATGCTTCACATGGTTTGACAGTGACATCCGAGGTCATTACTAGTTTTTGTTTCCTGCTTGGAATTGGTATATATTACAACAAGACTCGACCTGAATACTCTGAATAAACTGCTGAATTACCACAAATTGAATCAAATCCACAGACTGTCTCTTCGTTCATTATGAAAACAGACCACAGTTCGGTTATTTCTGGTGTAAGTTGGTCTAAGTTTGTTGGTATCTTTAGTGTGTTTGTCTAGTGTTCTCCATGTCGAGTACAAGCTGTGCGAACACGTACAATCTAAGCATGTTCAAACCAGTCATGACGCAGCTATGATGAACACACTCGAGAAATATTTGTCGAAGAAGAGATTCGTCGAAAGCCATAAATCAGGTAAGAATGAAATGAGAAAATAAAAAGCACTACGTTGTATTTGCATAATAGAACTACCAATTATCAAATCATTCGGACTTGCACCATCATCATTTTGCAATTATTAGAGATATCAATAGTTGATATTCAGACTTTTTTTTGTAGGATTAAGATTGAGGCATCGTCGAGACAATCACAACAACAATAACTCCTCGTCCGGTGACGATCTTCTTTTTAATCAAATTCAAGAGGTTCGGATGTTCTTAAGAAACTTTGAAGGTTTACAAAGTTTAAGCGGACCTAGAGGAAAGCAAGGACCTCCAGGAACACCCGGCAAAAGAGGCCCACGTGGCAAACATGGACCAAGAGGACCACGCGGTAAACAAGGACCCAAAGGACTTTCAGGACTTAATGGGCCTCCAGGACCTCCTGGACCACCTGGTGCTCCAGGACAACAAGGACCGGTAATTACGTYATAGATCCCGATGGCCAATCAGGACAGTCTTCATTCACCGTGTATTGTGACATGACTAATAAGGGAGGGGTGGGGGGTGACGGTTGTCAGTCATGATAGTGAGGCTAGGACTCTTGTTGATGGTTATCAATATGGAGAAGCTGGTTCATATAGTAAAGATGTTCGTTACAATGGTGCATCGATGGCTCAGTTGGCAAAACTGACTCAAATATCAACAAACTGTGAACAGTTTACTAAATTTGACTGCTACAATGACATCGCTTTTCTTGACTTTGGATACGGCTGGTGGGTATCACGTGACGGTGTGCGTCAGGACTACTGGGGCGGGGCAACGCCAGGGAGTAAGAAGTGCGCATGCGGTATGACCGACACGTGTTTTAATAAGAAGAAAGGGTGCAACTGTGTAAATAATCAAGGAAGTGGTTGGCCTAGTGACAGYGGTGTGTTAACTGACAAAACAACCCTTCCTGTATCGCAATTACGATTTGGTGACACTGCTCGAAATGACGAATATGCGTATCACACACTTGGTAAACTGAAATGTTACGGATAGACACGATAAAGAATAAGGAGACTTGTTGTTATGGACCTTGTATCGTATATTAACGACAATAATATCCGTAAAGTAAAAGAGTATCTGACGTCTATTCTACCGACTACGTTTAACGCTAGCACGCGCAGCTTCACAGAAACACAAAGGTTTCAGTGTCTTCCTAATTTCCCTCGTGTGACGTCGCAGGAGGAAATACTAGAAGACAAACTCTGCTTCCCATTAACTTCTCGTATAGCTGCGAAAGACTTTGTCCTATAGAAAGTCAAATCGATCTTCAATGTGGGACAATTTACATGATCCAGCCGGGGAGGAGGGGGCTGGCCCCCCACACAACGCCTCGAAATATTCAATAATTCATTATTTTCCATTGTAAAATGCATTTGCAAAAGTTCATGTGACGTCATCACTATAAATCTATGATTGTGCCCTCCCCCCAAGAAAATTTTGGCTCGGCCGATCCTGCAGTTTAATGTTTGGAACCACTACACATTCACACCTCAGGGAATATGGTTATGTCATGCGTCATGCTACACCCTCGGGTCTTTCACTAATTTTCCCCTCGGTGTTCAGGGAAATTCAATCCCTAATTTCCCTCGTGCCATGGTAATACTTATACTGATAGACTATACTCCCTTCGCTTGTATCAATAAACTAAGATATCCGACGGTGAAAATATACAACAACATTCTAAATCAATTTCGCTGTGATACCTGAAAGGAGACGTTGTAATCAAAATAGCTCCCTTAGCAATCTGTTATATAAAAAAAAGACACAATGAATATGGTACTTGAGTTAGTGATTTAAAATAATAATCAAAAATAGTCATTATCAGAGATGACATTTTAAATTTCTTGTTGACGACGTTAAATYACAAAGATCATCAAGAAAATATATCAGAAATAGTCTGCACTTTGTCGGGCCTGCACATACTAGAGCAATTTTATTTAATAATTTATATATTTGATAGCACACAAGCGAATCAACTTATATATAGTTCAATACTCAGGAGMCATTCAATACACAAGAATCAAATTAATTATTCTCTATTTCATTTTACTGTGATAGACTATCAATAAAAATAAATAAATGAAACAACTTGGCGCAGAGCTTTTATTTTGTGTAGTGCTTTGATTTACCTCTGTTTGCGAATAAAAAGACATTTTTAATGGGAAGTATAAAATAGAATAATATAAAAAATTTATAAAAAAAATCATTGAGCTAATATTAATCAATATAATTAATTCAAAGTGTATTCAGTACAAGCGCGAAAAAAGTAAATTATGCTAAATAGTGCTAGTTGAACAAAAGAAAACTAATTAATTAGCATGAAATAGTTCAATTCGAAAACCTAGTGTGAAMGCGATCTAGTATTACTAATTTTTCATGTTTTTACAAAAGCACATTGATTGATTGAYTTTTTTAGAGGTTGTGGGTTTGACGATTATATATCATTTAAGTAACAAATAACGATAAATTTGATTGACTTTCTGACCACTTTTTAGTTAGCGCATCTTGTACTTTCGGACGAGTGAATCAATACCGCTTCCCTGCAGGAGGTTTGCTTGTGATCAACAACAAGTTAATGAAACTGCTTACCTTAGGAGTATATACAAACGTTGCCGAGTCGCAAAAAAGAGTATGTATCATCGAAGAAATTCGAATCGCATTTGCCTAATAACATTATAGCACTACTCGTAGAGACTGTCATTACATTCAGCGGCAAGATATCTTTTAGCACTGAAACTGTTATACTACATGGCTTCGCTTTATGAACTTCACGTGTCTTACCTGAARTGACGATATCGAAGAATTAGTACAACTTGTTGTATCCACAGAATTATTTGTTATGTTTGTATTCATTTTCATCAAGATACTTTCGTAAGTGTCCTTTAAGTGTCTGTCGCTCTTTCCTCGCTGCCARAAATAGWTATACCCGTGKCCCTTAGGACTTWAWCACGAAGTCTGTTAGGGACGATATGAGGGGGGATCGCCCCTTAAACCTTGTAACTAAGTTAAAGTCAGTCGCTAAGGTCAATCACAAGAAATAACTGTCACATGTTRTTTTGCACTAAAAGTGCTATTGTTCGTACAAAACCTGTTGAAATTTAGGCATAACATGAGTTCTTATGAAAACTTCATTCGCCGATATTTCTATTATGGCGCTCTTAACATAATCTCTGCCAATTCGGTTAACCAGCAGAAAAAAATTCTATAAAAAATATCAAGCAAATATTGTGTCATTCCTACTCGTATGTTTGCAGAAACCCCGGGGTAAACGTACCGGGTATGCTCGTCAGAAATTTTCAAAAAGACCCCTAAAAGATCCCCGAAGTCTTGAAAAATGGGCGTGGCTGACTGTTTTTAAACCCCTAAGACATTGCATAACAAATATTGGTAAATTAAATCAGTTCCAATAAATAAAAACTTAGAGGAAAGTCAATATCGATGCGCTGTTTCTCTTCTTTTCGGAAACCAAAGAGATTTTAAACTGATTTTATAAGTCGTAGTTTTCGCTCCGACGGTTTTTCTGTTAGTCGAAACTAGAGACTTATGCACTAGTCAATAGAAACCCCTGCCCCCCGACTCCTGGGGATTACCGGGGAATTTAACGTTTGAGTGATGTCAAAATAAAACATTTCCCCCGGTAGTAGGGGGCACATTCATTATTAAAAAACTCCGCATACTGTTGCCCCGCTGTTTTGGTCAAGAAGTAAATAAATTTTCTGTGATACACAGGGTTAGTTTTTGCACAATCCTGTGTACTCATTTGTGTACCACATGAGGCTAACTGGACGGAGAAAAACATTAATTTCTTTTAAAAAATTTTCATGYCAGCTAGTTTCCAGCCTCATACATGTTCAAACGCACGTTAAAATTCCCCCTCTTTGCCCTGCTTCGAAAACAGTTCATCAAAATCCCGACCGCGGGGCAATCTTGCTTTTAAAAGCACGTAAAAGCGCATCACTTCCTCGTTCAGTGCCCCGCTAGCCCCGGGGAACGGGTGTCGGGGGTCGTGAGTTTCAATTGACTAGTGCATTATCCGTCTTATACCAAATGTTTGTGCAAACCAAAACGAGGGTCTTGCATAATTAATTTACAGGAAGTAAATTTCAGTCATGCGTGAGGTGATAGGCGTGGCAGTGAAAAAGGGGTCAATCTTTGTTCATTTGGTTTGTCTATTTTATATTGTGTAAAAGGCGGGTTCGAAATATCCGAAGGTATTTGAGTATTTTTAACGAGTTGTTTACAACAGACCTGAATACTTATTTAAAAAAGAACTTTTTTGGGGAGAACGGCGAGCAACGATTGTCGAAGGGAGAATACACGACCGAAAGGAACTATGGTTAGAATGTTTTGATAAAATGTTTTGATAAAAAAAATTTTCAGTTGCTGGATACTCCTTGCATAAAAATGGACGACTTAATAAAAACAATGTTCACCACAGACTATCTAATATACAGCATAAATCAGTTTTTAGTTTTCATCAATTAGCAAAACCCATGGCTACTTTCGGTCGTTCAGTTGCTGTTCGCCAATTTTATGGAATGGGTACATATTGATTAGGTGTACATATACAGGGTTACTGATGTACGTGCACAGAAGTCTTTTTATGTATACATATTATGAAGAAGAACTTATTAGAAAAGTTTCGGAGACTTAAACTGAAAAGAATTTTATTTTGGAAGASCAAAGATTCGAACCAGCGCTATACATTGCCTAACTCTATTTTTTTCCTAAACCTAACCATTTAGCCAGCAGAAGGCMTGTCATGGACACACTGTAAAAGTATCAGGATCGAATCACTATTTCGCAACCTAAAGAGTGCCTTTCTTATTCTCATGAACTAAATTCACAACTCAATTTACAAATAAATCTTAATTGACGCATATAATTTACAAAATGAACAGATATCCTTTGAAAACTAATTTTTTTCCAGATACATTTGCATACTAATATAACTGAATCTCRCTATGACGTCACAGCATGTTTGAATGCTGTCTAGAAAAAATATAAACTCTTCCAATCTTCTAGTTCAGTTTCAAAAAGTCATTGTGCGTCAATGATGGTATTATTTCTGGTGCGTTGTCATGAATCATTGGCCTTGTCTGTGTTGAATAAGTTGTTTTATCACGTTGCATTTCTCTTGTTTCCTGTTTTCTTGTTCACATTTGTCTAAGATGTGGCGCCAACACTTCTAGAAGGTTCGCAAACGGTGATTTCGCGCAGCTTCTTTTCTGATGGTGCTGATAATAGGAGGTTATTCAACCGAGTGACTATAAACACTGGCATCAAGCGATAAATTACCGAGGACTTGAAAATAGTAGTTCATCATTTGGGTCAGGTCATCCAATATATTTTCAAGAGGAGGCCAGCCCAAAGAAGATAACAAGGAGTTTATAATATATATCCTTTGTCTGACTCAAAAGGACTTATTTGTATTTCCTGTGCTAGATTTTTCGCTGAAGCTTTGATAACTTTTTTGTTTTAAGATTCGAGTAAAACCACTCCGTCTCCATCCATAAATYATACAATTGAAAAACCCTTGAAGTGGAGTTRTYATAGCCTGGCAAAATCAAAAATAATCATCATCTATAAGAGATGGTGATTGAAAAGATGGATGAAGATAAGCATACAAGAGCTGGATAATGAAAGAGYAAGAGTTGGTAAGAGAAACATGGTCGAGAGCACGCCTCAGGCTAGACCCAACATCTAGACGGACGAACAAGGCACAAGAGAGAGGGCAGGCCGCAAGGAAGTGTGGGAAAGTGCAAGCGGTGAGCAAAATTAATCCTCAAGACTGCACTAAGAGCAAGCCATAAAAACAAGAAAATAAGAATTAAATATACACTGGAAAACCTYAGACTTTTACATACTGTGTAAATCATGTGTAAATTGTTTGTAAACAGACTGTAAAACCTAGGTACTTTTACATACTATGTAAATTTCAAAAGACTTTGTAAATCATTTGTAAATTCTTCCTCGTACTCAATGTAGAATTTTTGTAAATGTGAAAAAACGTGTTTGTAAAATACAATTTCCAAAATATTTCCATAGTATGTAAAAGACCAGTGATATAGGTTTTTACTTCACTTAACTACTGAACAGCTGTTATATATAATCTTTTCAAAAAATGTCTAAACACATGACATTAAGGTAAGATGTATTTTATTAAAAAAAGAAAAATCCCGTAGTTTGACCACTATAAGTTCAAATGTCTTGCTTGGGATTCCTGTGGACTTACCTGWGCAATGTAAAGGTAATAGAAATTCAGCAGATTGAAGTCAGATAAGAACGAACATAACCAAAGAACAASACCTTAAAGTAAAATAGCTAAATGAAAAATACGACCTGATAATTGTTTATTAAAAGCCTAATATTTTTGGTTTGGTTTTTGATTTCTTCCTTRTAAAAGAGAAGTGTGGAGAGATAGAGGACCTGATAGAATGCACAATCGAGACTAGTGAACAAACCCCTGTACTCTTTGGAAAATGACAGAATAGCAAGCTAAGAATATCCGCCTTTCAAATTTCAATCATATTTCTACGTCATCAATCCCAGAATTCACTTCATGCGTATTCTTACTTGGTAACCAGCATATAATGAACACCACCTGGTAGAGACACGTCCATTTTTTCACCGTGTATTCTTGATCATACTGCAGTCTCGTTATTATACCTACAAGGATGATGTAGGGCAATAGGAAGTATAAATACCCTGGGGTTCCAGAGGCTGGATTTACTCTTTCTTATAGTTTGTTTATTTATTTATAGACCAAAATAAAAAAGGGCGTGGCTATCGTGACGCCTGAGTTTATAGATTCTATAATATATCATTACTACCCGTTGAAAGAAAACATATCATAATGAGTGAGATCTGAATGTTTCAATGCTCTAACATTTAAGGACCAGAAATTACAGGTGTTTGAAATTGCAAAGGTTTGAGTGAAAATCAGTATTGAGGCCTTACAAAAATACGCCAATTCGCTAGTTTAAATATACTCTTTTTTATCGTGAAAACAGAGTTTTAAAAACATGGACCGTTTAAGGTGCTCATTCCCAGTGTTCTGCTCGTTTTTCATATAAACCTTCAAGATCTATACAATGTGATCACGTGAAAGATCTTTCATTTGTGAAACTGCGATCTTTTCAACCCATTACACCCTTTTAATAAGTCCCGAGGTATTGTGTTCCGCACTTGACGTCAAATTTATTCTTTTGACTGATTTTTACAATACAACAGGAATTCAAAAGAATGCATTTGAAGTCAAGTGCGGAGAACACAAAACTTCGGGACTTATTAAAAGAGTGTATATCTTCGCTTCGCCTCATATATCCTCTACAATGAGTTTGTTTAATATTGCTTACCTCCAGTTTTTTGAATTTTCCTGAACGTACTGAGAACTAATATATAGACAACCTATAATTAACATATCAGAATATCAAACGATGGTTTATTTTCTCTTTTTTTCATATGTTTTCCACACTTGTCCTACTAGGTATTCTGAATATCCGTCATAATGAAGGACCATAATTGTTCATCTAGAGACAGCACTATTTCCCGCTCTGAAAGTGCTTACTCGGGCTGCATCCCAGGGCAGTCATKTAATAAATGACGTCACGCTCAGTGATTAAYAAGAAGTTTCTTTCAATTTTTTTATGTGATGAAAACTTCMAAAATTTGCATGTTAACWTTGTAATGTAACCAATATTAATTAGTCTTTTTTTTTAAGTGCATTTCCAATCTACTTACCACAACTGTTGCCATTGAAGAAAATAAAACACAAACAAATACAACTTGAAATATAAAATTCCAGTTTGTCTCTTTCTCAGAATCATGTATACTTCCCTAGATAAAACAAACATATATGATTAGAATTATAACAGTAAACCTTCAAGTTGTTATAACATAACATAACATAACATAACATAACATAACATAACATAACATAACATAACATAACATAACATAACATAACATAACATAACATAACAAAACATAACATAACATAACATAACATAACATAACATAACATAACATAACATAACATAACATAACATAACATAACATAACATAACATAACATAACAAAACATAACATAACATAACATAACATAACATAACATAACATAACATAACATAACATAACATAACATAACATAACATAACATAACATAACATAACGTAACGTAACGTAACGTAACGTAACGTAACGTAACGTAACGTAACGTAACAGAACAGAACAGAACAGAACAGAACAGAACAGAACAGAACAGAACAGAATGCAATGCAATACAACTACAATGCAATCCAATAAAACACGATTGCAACTTACACTACAATTTCCATGGGTGTAGTGAAATACGGGTAGACACCTAATGCAAAAATCAAAGTTAAACAGTAAAATAAATGGCAGGAAGAGAACTGATTGAAAAATGGAATATATGAATATTCTAATAAATGAAAAAATAACTGAATAATTTATAGATTGATTGAATTTATAGTAATTTCTGAATAACTTTAGAAGCAGTCTGGTCCCCTCCCCAGGCAACTCTTTTTTCCACCTTTGGGCTTCCTTTGTAACGGTCATCTTGGCCGCTCGGGACTACTGACTCCTAAAAACCACAGGAAGCCCGTAACTCTTAGTGATGCTTGCCGAGGAGGCGATAAGCAGCCCAGATCAATGTGAAGAAGTGTACTTGGTACATTTTATTACATGTACATGTTGATGTATATGTTGGTTCCATATTGATAGAATATAATTGATCATCAATTAATTATTAATTAACTCACGTGCCACATATATCATAGTTTAGAGACGCTCCACCATTTTTTCCACTGTTAATGACAAATAAAATGAAGGTCACCATCACAGGAGCAACCCTAATGTGATAAAAAAATTATTTGCAAACATTTTCTTTACACGCAATTAATACACCTTTTCAGTTGCTCTTAGGCCTCGACAGCGTGTTGAATATTCTTTTGGAATTTGTAGGAATGTGAGCAATATGAATAGTCTCATTTGTCAAATTCAAAAGAATAATTTACTTGCTATCGAGGCCTAAGTGCAACTGAAAAGGTGTATTATATTAGGTGGCTTGCAAAAACTTTGCAATCAAAAAAAATTATATTAGAGACATTGAATTAGGTAATTATATTTCTAAGCAGATTTCTAATTTCTGATTTCTAATTGACTTTCTTAAATTTCCTTTCATAAGTTCACTTTTTTTAATTTTCTTATAAACTCATTTAAATAATTCAATTCATGAACCATTACTCCAAAAAGGGCTGTCAACACTAGTGTTGTATCAGATTTACGACACGGTCGCGTCACCATTGAGACAACCCAACCTAGAAAAGGTCTCAGTTTTAATATCGCTTCTAGAACTCATTTTAAATAATTCATGAGCTATTAGTCCAAATTATGAGCATCGAACTATTGTGTCACATGATGGGCTTTATATCCCGATAAAGTACTGATGTTTTATTAATCAGTTGTATATCAGATAAAGTTGTGTAAAAAGATAAATTAAACACCGTAAAAAAGTAGGTCCTAAGCATTTACGAAGGATTAACGTCCGAAACGTCAGTAAGTTACTTCCCCTACTTTTTTACGGTGTTTTATTTATCTTTTTACATAACTGTTTCTTTAGAAACACCGACGCAGCTCACACTAGTTTACCGCTAGTTCCCACCATTTTGACTATACCAGATATATAGAACTGATGTTTTATTAATCAGTTCTATATCAGAWATAAAGAACTGAYRTTSAARGTCATCARCGCTTTATCGCAACCCAACACTAGCAAAGGTCTCAGTATTAATGTCGCATCACAGACCTTTGCTAGGTTTTAAATCAGTTTCAATCAATGTGCAGACATGAACTATAGCATAGACTAGCCGTTCTTGCGTGTGGGATCAAAATTCTTTCAATTGTGGCACAAGTTTAATATGCATTATCTTTGTTTTCGCACTTTTTAGCTTTTTTCTAAAATGATAACAATTTCTGAATGTTCGAGTTCTAGAAGTCATTTATAGAACTTGAGTGCGTGTTTTATGTCTTTTATCGGGTTTATTTAACAAATAAATAAGGCTCAGCCGTGGTGAAAGTGAGCACTTTTGGACATTTTGAGTGTGTTTCAAATGCCAAGCGTTCGTTTATCAGAGTATAAACCACAGGCTGAAGACTTAATATTTATTTGCTTTATTATATAGATTTTGAGCAAAACTTAAGCAAAAGTCCATTTTGTTGACTTTTTCAAAAATCGCTCGCGCACAATCGTGGTTTATTCTCTCATAAACCACACTTTTTTGGCCAATCAGAGCGCGCGTTAGAAATCAACTATATAATAAATCCCGATAAAACACGCACTCTCGTTCTATAAACAACACATCATAGACCTTCACTAGGTTTTGCAGCAAGCAAGACAGATAGCAATTCCCTTTATCCAACACTGGCTTGCTCTCCATGTGGGAAAAATATTTTTTCAAAATGTTCTCTGTTGCAGTAAATTGAGCATGCTCAATAGTGACTTAACTCAGCAGTTACCTTATTCGTCATTTATCTCACTCTTATTCATGTTAATAATTAGTGTTGGGGTTTCATAAGTCGTTTACAACATTCGCGCCCGTGTTGTATGGGAACTACAATCTCGAGCCGCAGGCCACTGATGTTGTATTACTATACTTATTTGGGTTTTGAAGATGATGTTATTAGAAGTGCTTATAAGTTAAATATTTTGGTTGATCATTGAAGATAATGACTTTTTAACCTACCAAGCAAATACGTACAAACNAATTCAATTCATGAACCATTACTCCAAAAAGGGCTGTCAACACTAGTGTTGTATCAGATTTACAACACGGTCGCGTCACCATTGAGACAACCCAACCAAAGGTCTCAGTTTTAATATCGCTTCTAGAACTCATTAATAATTCATGAGCTATTAGTCCAAATTATGAGCATCGAACTATTGGGTCACATGATGGGCTTTTATATCCCGATAAAGTACTGATGTTTTATTAATCAGTTCTATATCAGATAAAGTTGTGTGAAAAGATAAATTAAGCACCATAAAAAAGTAGGTGAAGTAACTTACTGAACTTACTGAAGTTTCGGACGTTAATCTTCGTCGGAGTAAAAGCGGTGGGAAGGATTAACGTCCGAAACGTCAGTAAGTTACTTGCCCTACTTTTTTACGGTGTTTTATTTATCTTTTTACATAACTGTTTCTTTAGAAACACCGACGCAGCTCACACAGCAGATATAGAACTGATGTTTTATTAATCAGTTCTATATCAGCTATAAAGAACTGATATTCAAGGTCATCAGCGCTTTATCGCAACCCAACACTAGCAAAGGTCTCAGTATTAATGTCGCATCACAGACCTTTGCTAGGTTTTAAATCAATAGAACGATTTCACATAACCGGATAAAAAATGCTAATGAGGATCAATTTATGCTAATACACGTTACACGATTTTACACGTGGAACAACAAGGATTTTGATGAACGCTTTACTTAGTTAACATACAGATTTGTTTTAAATAACAAACATTAAATTCGCGATCGTGTTTGTTCAATAGTCAAGTCAGAGTAATTTTGCTCTTAGAATTACAATGTTTTATCGCGTATTTGTTCATTTTTTTTCTTACACAGTTTTAGCCAACATTGCAGTGACAGCGTTCATGGTATCCATGGCTTTTTCGCACAGATGGACAACAATTTGATACAAGCTATTCTCATTGTATAATGTGTATTAGCATAAATTGATCCTCATTAGAACTAGCCGTTCTTGCGTGTGGGATCAAAATTCTTTCAATTGTGGCACAATGCACATGCTCATTAGAAGTTTAAAAAAATGATAACAATTTCTGAATGTTCGAGTTCTAGAAGTCATTTATAGAACTTGAGTGCGTGTTTTATCGGGTATATTTAACAAATAAATAAGGCTCAGCCGTGGTGAAAGTGAGTACTTTAGGACATTTTTGAGTGTGTTTCAAATGCCAAGCGTGCGTTTATCAGAGTATAAACCACAGGCTGAGACTTATTTATTTGTTTTGTTATATAGATTTTGAGCAAAACTTAAGAAAAAATCCATTTTGTTGCCTTTTTAAAAAATCTCTCGCGCACAATCGTGGTTTTTACTCTCATAAACCACACTTTTTTGGCCAATCAGAGCGCGTGTTAGAAATCATCTATAATAAATCCCGATAAAACACGCACTCTCGTTCTATAAAAAAAAACACATCATAGACCTTTACTAGGTTTTGAAGCAAGCAAGACAGATAGCAATTCCCTTATCCAACACTGGCTTGCTTTCCATGTGGGAACAATATTTTTTCGAAATGTTCTCTGTTGTAGTAAATTGAGCATGCTCAATAGCGACTAAACTCAGCAGTTACCTTATTCGTCATTTATCTCACTCTTATTCATGTTAATTAGTGTTGGGGTTTCATAAGTCGTTTACAACATTCGCGCCCGTGTTGTATGGGAACTCAGGGATGATGGGAACTACAATCTCGAGCCGCAGGCCACTGATGTTGTATTACTATTATACTTATTTGGGTTTGGAAGATGATGTTATTAGAAGTGCTTATAAGTTAAATATTTTGGTTGATCATTGAACATTAGATAAT